AATGATGCCGAACCATCAAAGGAAGAATAATTGGGGTGGGGTGGGGTGGCCGTTTAGAAAAATGGCCAAACACATCTGAATGTCTGCAGCACGCATGCACGCTGAACTGATCTTTGACCTTTGACCTGCCCTCCAGGGTGTCCACCCTCTGGAAGGAGGTTGACTATCTTAGAATGTTTTATAGCATCTCTCTATAGCATCTCATGACAAAATGTATCTCATTTGATATCCCTACTAGAGTCAACTTCCAGTAGGTTCACCTAACAGTAGCTGTGAAAATGTGGCACTCTATCTCTATAAGTTTAACTTTTATAGAACAAACTGTACTGTGGTTAAAAAAAGAAGTAATAAAAAGACAACTTACTATCACGACTCCCCCTCCCTCCAACTGATCCTTTCCTTTTCCTCCTTTACCCGTCTCTTCTTCCATTCTTCCCATCCCTCCATCTCAATAACACACGTATAACGATCCACTGTAATGCACTGCACTGTATATAATAATGTAATATGTATGTTGTGAACGTCCCTCTGTAGAAGTGGTCTTTGTTCACCAGTATGAATAATGTAATAATGTTTAATGAGTAATAAATTACAGATTAAAGGGCTTCACTCTCTTAACCATCAACATTTACCTGGTAGCAACATGGTCTGCTCTATTGAATGTCATTTTGGGTTCTGTTTCAATGGTAGAATCTAAAAATGTATGTAGTTTTACATACTTCTGGCATTTGGAATCAACAAAGTGGAGCAAAACAGGATGGGTTCAGGATTTTAGACAAGCGGGTCTTCATGTTAACATTATTAGCACATAGGCGCAGCATTAAAAGATCTAACATGTAGGTTCAGTTCAGTTCAACTCAATTGTATTTGTATAGCAGAAATTCACATCAATCAAAAACTGAAATGTTTGACCTAAAGTGCTGATGCAATTGACCAGTGGGGTGGCACTTGCAAGCACTTGGCAGCATTTGGAGAGGAAACGTTTGTTTCTATGTGATGAAATAGTTTGTTTTGTTAAGTTCATTTGTTGAAATCTCATGCTGTAGAAACAGAAAAGGTTCAAATGCAAAAATTAACACTGGCCCAGCCAAAACTGGGTTACCACAGACTTGGCATATCCCTAACCTTCATCTCCAGCTCAAAACAAACTTAACCCGGTAACATTTATTCAGTCACAGAATAAAGAAAAATGTGCAGAGAGCACAGCAGTCAACCTGTTGTACATCTTCCTGTCACTGAGTTGTTTACAATGCTAATATTAAAGCACTAATCACCCTTTGTGGTGAGTCAGTGTCTGAAAACCTAAGGGGAAGTTGAGCTGGAAAGAACCTTTTAAGAAGAAAACGGTCACTGTCACATGTCAGGTCACTTTCACTCAGCTCTGCTAATGGAAGAGAACAGGTATTCCCCTGGACTGATGAAGGCAGTTACTGCTGTTAATGAACAGATGACAAGAGGTTGAAGGGTGGTCTTCCTGGGGTTCCCACAGGCATGAGACCTTCAACACTGAGCTTCTGAAGGTCTCAACCAGTCAATAATCACAAGTAGCAATAGTCACTGGTCTATCTGTGTGAATGTGAATGTGTTGGTATGCTTGGACTGAAAGCAGAAATGCTTGATTATCTGGAATTTTTTTCTTAAGCACAAACGATTCAACTTATGTCACATTCGGCATGAAACAATGCACCTGTACGATATTTTCTCCCCTGAGAAGGGCACGCCTCCTACCCTACATCCAGGTCCTCTCAGGTCTGGGTCACTTTCGCTCTCATTTACACACACAAGCACATCATGTCCAGAGTGGAGGTTTTTCGAGAGACAAACCTTCGCTCCCTACTGAGGGAGCTGCGTACCGACATAGCTATGGCTGTAGATGACCCTTTCCCTCTTGTCTATGGTTTGGTGGACAAAAACATCATCACTGACCAACTGCTGAAGGTAAGACAAAGAAGAAAACTGTGTAAATCTGTACCTCATGTCAGATATTTTTATTTTGGTAAGTACTGGTTAGAATTGCAAAAGGTTTCTCTAGAAATTATTAAAAAAATCCTACCTATAGGCTATGTTAATCATCTACATCTAAACCTGAAATGTCTTAGAAATATATGATTTTACTTAGGCTGCAAAGTTCCTACAGTACTGTTTCTTTTGCTGTTGGTGTGGCTGTGTAGGACACTCTAGAGAAGCACGGTCGGGAAGGGATCCATAAGGCCATGTACTCGCTCCTGTCCTGGGTCCTAGAGCAGAGCAGATCCACCATCGAAGCTTTCTGGAGCAACATGACTAAAGACTACAACCTGGACAGCTACCCCAAGCTGCAGACACTGGTCTCTAACCCGCACTCGAGTATGTGACATCAAAAATCCTTGTCAAATGTCTGTTTAACATTGCATTTTATAGACCTTGGTTTAAAGCAGAAACTTAGATTTTCCAATCATTTTCAAGCAAATCTTTTTTTTTTACACTATTCACCATTAAGATACCACTCTAGAGCACGACAGCAGAGCTGAACATTCAGGACAGACAATGCACAACTGCGATATCTAGGACATTTTGAATCATTTATGTTTTCAGTTTAGCTTTTGATTGCTCCCATTTTTTACAGAACGGGATGTTGCAGGTACTAGAGGTGAGAAGAGATCTTCTGGAGGTCACAAAACTCCTCACACCAAAAAGAGGAGCCACAAGGACGGAGAGATCAACCACCACAATCAGCACTCACAGTATCATGCCAAGACAAGTGACGGACCAGGTTATCTCTCATAATGCAAATATTGTTGCACTTTCTGGTCTTCATTAAGGAATTTAACATTATACGGTTTCTTCTGCACTGCTTATTTTTACATGTTTGTGATAAATTCAGTAAAAATATATCTAGTGTTCTTCTGGTTTTTGCTCAAGGGGGAAACGTGAAGTTATACAGAGTGAAGAGTGAAGCTCCAGACCCTCAGCTGGCATCTGGAAAAAGTAAATTGTTATAGTAAAAATATAAGCAATTCTTTCATATTAGAGATACATTTAACCAAAGTTCTGCCATAGGTGTGCAGGCAGTGTCCTCATCAGTCCAGAGAGGAGTCACGCTCTCTTCAGCCTCCTCCACTGAGCTGCCACTCAGCCATAAAACCAGAGAAAAGATCCATATCAAGCAGGTGTTTGGCTCAGATGGTAAGATATGGGGAGATCTAATTTTTTTTACACTACTGATAAAACTACTTATTAGGACACTAAATGTACATTTCTTTTTTATCAGCATAAAATAATGGAGAAATGTGATGCTGTCCTCTGGTAAACTTGACCAAAGTTAGATTGATATATGCTCCCAGTGGAAACTTTCGTCTGAATATCAGGAATGAATTCATGAGTGCTGCAGTGTTGACAAAGCATAAAACTGGAATTGGTTGTTAGTCCTTTTCAAATTGTTTGTCATTCAACAGGGACTGCCAGGAAGTGCATTAAAGTTGGTGGGGAGTTTTACACTTGTCACCCATCAGAGGAAATAACTGGAGCATCCAAGTCCAAAGCTGCTAAGAGCACATTCCACCACAAGGGGGAGACAACCACAGGCCTGGTAAAGGTCCCAGCTCCACTTATTCTTAATGACAGTCACCAAACTTTCCTCTGAGTTGGTCTTATATTTATCTCATATATGCTGTGTGTGTATCTGTAGGTTCACTATAATGATGATGAGTGTGCGGTGTGTAAGGACGGAGGGGAGCTGATCTGCTGTGATGGCTGTCCCCAAGCTTTTCATCTGACCTGCCTCAACCCTCCACTCACATCCATACCAAGGTGAAAAACAAAAATCACTATCAATCTAGCTTTGTGTCATTAGTGTGTTCAGGGATGGGTATTGTTTTTCAACTTTTGCTTTAGAAATGAGGTTTAAATGTCACATTCAATGTTTTATCTGCAGTGGCCCTTGGCAGTGTGAAGGGTGCTGTGGTAACAGAGTGAAAAGAGAGGAAACCCTGATACCTTTACAAGTAAGTAAAGTAAAATTCTGGGATAAGGGCACTGTAAATATTTTTGGATGACTGTAGGCTGTGATCAGTGGTTATTTTGATGATAATAATTGATTTGTGACTTTGTGAGCTGCTAAATGAGATTTCTATAATCTCATTTGCTTCTTTTAATAAAGCTTCAAAGTCCTCCAACACAAGTGAACCAGTCCTCCTGCAAGACTGAAAAACTTTGTTTTCAGACTATATGAGGACGACACTGATGCTCTGGACTTTGCATTGCTCACCAGTATATTTTATTATACAGTCACTGATGGCCCGGCCTCAGCATTCAATCACCAGCTCCACTAACTCCATCACAGACGTCTCCTTCTTCCCCTCCATGTCGTCCTCCTCCCTCACAAGTGGCACAGCTTCTTTGAACACTCCCAGTGGCAGAAACCAGGTAAAGACCTGATGGCCTTCTGCTCTTCATTGTAACGCCCTTTTGACATTTTGCCTTTGTGTAATTTTGTGTTATTCTTAACATGATGATGTTTATCCAAGTGCTCAGGTGGAGAGCTGATCAATGTGAGGGAGGTGTGTGGTGTTTGTCGCCTTGGAGGAGGGGACCTGACTCGCTGCCTGCAGTGTTTGGAGCGTTTCCATGTACACTGCCATTTCTCCAAGTAAGATGTCCTCTCATCTTTTCTTTCTAAGACAGTATTACATCTTGGAAATAAGCACTTTTAGAAGAAGACAAAAATGGCTCTTTGTGTTTATTTCCAACAACCTTGTTGACAAATCCTGATCTCTGCATCACTGTAAAATCATCTACATAACGTCTCTTCCAATAAGCTTTCTGTTGATTATTGTTTACATTAGTGAATGGAGGATGTTAGTGTTAATGGTGACTAATGGATCATAAATGGACCCCTGCAGCAGAGTGATCTGGAAAGTTAATGAGGACCAATGATGCTACAAAATGCTACCAGAAGTATGACAGAGATGACAAATGAAACCAGTGTAAACCATCTGGTGGTGTCTTGTAGCGCCACTTATTTTTGGTTTTTCTTCAGTGTGATAAACTGATGACAATTTCTTTGGATATTTTTTATATAATTTTAATCATTAATACAGATCTTTTCAGTGTTTTATGTACATGTAATCTAAAATTATTGGACTTTTGTTTTTACATAAAGAACTCATGTCATTGGTTTAAGTTGTCACATGAAGCAGCTCTTCTTTTGTAATCCTCTGAGTGCTGGAAATTGCATACTGATTGAGAGAAACATTATACACCACAGAGAAGCGTCTGACTCACTCAGTGTTTGCACGTTTGCTAGAGGGAGGTCCATCTGCTCATCCTGCTCCAGGCCCTGGGGCAGCTCAGCAGAAAAAGAGGCTGAATCCAGTGGCTCACAGGTAGCTCTGCACATGAGTACCAAAGTTAAATAGCCTGTGTGTGTGAAAATATGAAAACATTCATTATCTGAATATGAGAGAGTGTAATCTGCATGATATCTCCTTTGTGTGTGCTTCCAGTTCACCCCAGTGGTTCAAAATGCACTTGGTCATGATCAGAGCTCATCTGTCTCTGAGTCCATCCTCCATAAAGATGAACTCGACTCCATCCTGGGAGATGTGAGTGGTGCTCAGTTACATGTCGATACCACAAACCTGATATGGATGTAGTCATGCATGGCAGACACAAAATGGCTACACCTCTGATCCCACAGACAGCGAACAAGTTGTCATGGTGAAAGGTAGCATTGTGGACCAAACAATAACTGACTGGGAATAATGTGTTGCAATGTACTAGATGTATACGTGTACAGATGCTGAAGTCTCTCTCTGCCGTAATGCAGAGTATTCTTGTTTTACTCTGTGTCTAATGATGTGTGTTTTTAGGACCAATGCACTAACTGTTAAAATACTTTTCCTACAAGTAACTTGTAACTTTGTGAAGGATTTAAAGGATACTGCACATAAGACAACACATCTACAAACTACGATAATCAAATCCATAAATGGATTTTACCTCTCAGTTGACTTGAGAGATTGAATGTGCTGAAAGAAAGAGCTAAAAAATGAAAATGCTTGTTTACTGTGTGACCCCAGCAAAGATTGTTGCTGAGACCAATGTGTGTGATCAATGGTCTTGGTCTTGATTGATCCTATTGTTTGTTTTTTTTAAATCTCAACAGGGCTCTATTGATGGCATCTTTCAGTGGCCTTTCCACAACATCTCTCGGCCTCTTCCGGACTCTCAGGGATGTTACCAGTGACAGACACACATGCAAAATCTATGACAGCATAAGGTAATACTGCAAAGTCACCATGACAACACAGCTAGTTAAAAAGAGGTTTCTGCATATGGTGATTATTCTCTTGTTTCTAGTTGTGCTTGAAGTAACTGTCTAATGGTTAACTTTCGAGTGGACATGTTATTATTTGCTTTAATATTTAAATAGCTTCTTTTCAAACTACAGATTTATAAAAAACAAGCGCTGAAGTTTGTATACTAACTAGAAAGACAACTGAAAATAATTTTCACTGTATATCATTGCGGCACATATTTTCAGTTCTTTAATATTATTATATATTATATTATTTGTACAAACCCCTGCACAGCTAAGTAACATAAAATGCCTGTTCTACGTCTGGTTTCTTAGCTGCATTACTAGTAGCACACAGAAGTAGTCACCTAGATGCTGTCTGCATCTAAACAGTTAGCTCAGATCAGCTCCAAATCAAAACAGACATGCTTCTGACATAAACCAAAGAGTTTCCATTTTACTTTAATGCATTGCTGGAGCAACCAATTACTCTAAGGTACCTTTAAGGCCAGTGAAACCAGTACTCCTATGTTGGAATGTTACTTAATTTGTGTTAGTTTGTGGAAACTGATTAAATACAGCAATGTATGCACGATGTGAACTATGTATAAACTGGAAACGCGGTGCCTTTTGTGGTCTCTGAGAACCCGGAGTTGCCAGTTTGTTGGGAATCCAGCCTTTCAGTAATGCTTCTACTTTTAGATGTCTGCTCTGAATACAGGGCATTGTGTATGTGGAGCAGCTTTAATTTTTTTTGACTAACCTTGTCACTAATCTTCACCCATTCTTTTTTTTACAGTGCTTCCACATTTCCTCCCTCTCTTTGCAGCATTACACCATGGCTGAACAAGACTAATTGTTTAGGACATGGGATCAGCACTGATGTGGGATGGTTGGCAAAATACACACTTTAGCTACTGCAGTGGTTCTGTACATGCATATACTGTAGTTGTATGTATTTTCATTTTTGCATGTGTTTTTATGTGAATGAGAACTGTTTATACCTTCAGGGAAAACAATGCTGGACAGAATAGGAGAGGCCATAGTTTTGCTGCAGATCCTTCAGAGACACATTAATGTCAGATAAGAACAGTGTCCCATAATAATAAACCAATGTCTTCAAGTACAGCAATAAGAAAACAAAGACAATGCAATCTTCCATGTGTCCACAACAACTGTTTTTCTCTCTCTCTCTCTCTCTCTCTCTCTGTGTGTGTGTGTGTGTGGATATGGAGAAGAATTCTCACGTTCTACCAGATGGTTTCAATACGATGAGGTATGCACACTGAGAAATGCCTCTGTTTAAAAGGAATTCCTTCAAGACTATCACATAGATGAGGAATGTTGTTTTTGTCATGGGATTCAAGAGTTTTAGCATGACTGCCAGAGGGATGGAGCTCGGCCAGACAGCACACAGATCTTTCCCCCTTGGTATTTGGTTGCCATGGACCCCAGCTCCTACAGGCCCAAAACAGAGGATGAGAAACGTATTCACTCCAGCGTGTGTTTGTGCATGTGCGCTTCTGTTTGTTTATCAGTCCACTTTCTAAATGGTTTGGGAAACATTCTGTGTTCTTGAGGGTGGTGTGTACTTGCAGGAAAAGTAACATCAATAACAGAAACTTCATTTTTTTGGTTGTTTTTTTTTAAGAGGGGAAAGAATCAAGCACTATTTCAGGCAATGAGAATAACAGCTCACAGCCTTAGTTCCTCATTCTGTGGTCTATTCTAGCTGAGATGGTATTTTGCATAAAAACCAGCTTACATTGTTTCCTTAATTGTGTAAGCTTCTATCATGACTCGTGTTTTACCGCACCACATGAGCGACCACATGGAAAAACATGAACTATCCTGAGAGCTCCCTCGGTAACACCTTCTGACCACTAGGTGGCACCCGTGAGAACAATGGAGTTGTACATTGGTCCAGTGGACCATGACGCTCAAGTGATACACTATGTTAGTATGTTAAGAGGAAGTGTTTCCTTTAACAAAACAGTGTTGGCAAAAGCGTGGGAATTGCCCAGATTTCATCACAACAAAAGATGTTTGTCACAGCTATTTCCTACACAAATATGACAAACAGATGAGCTTTACACAGTCCAGTGTTTGAACGCAGCTATTTTCTCAAATACTGTACTTAGGTGCAATTTTAGGTACATGTACTTTAGCTGACTATTTACATTTTAAACAACTTTATTCTTCAATTTCACTTAAATTTAAAGGGAGTTACTTTTTGTTCTAAGTATTTTTCTAGATTACAATGTAGAATTAAATGACCTCAATCAAATGTAACATTAAAAGACTAACATACTAATGCGTCAGTAATACTGAAAAACAACCTAACATGGACAGGGGTCATTCAACTGGACTTTGATACTTTGGGTATATCTTTGTGTTAATAGTTATATTTTTAATGTAAGTAAAATGATGAGCATATGATTTTTACTTGTAATGAAGTTTTTCCAAATTCTTGTACTGCTGTTTGAATGCAAGCTCTTGATACTTCTGCTATGCAAGTGGAATGTTTTTCTGCAAGGTGGTTTATGCTCCTGACCCATTTCTTTTGCCACTGTTGCATCGTTTTCTCTCCAATCCCACATGCTTCATTTCCTGACACACCACATTCCTATATGATGTTTAATGAGGTGGGAAGGTTTAAAGAGTATTAGTCGTGTGTTGTTTGAGGTCTCAGTCATTATGATGCACTAGTGCTGGTTTATAGGAGTAGTCTGAATTTTTTTTTTGATAATACACTTACTTTCTTGCAGAGGGGTAGATGGAAAGATTAGTAGGACTTTCACTTATGCAAGGTAAACAGGAAGCTATAACCAGCAGCCAGTTAGCTTAGCACAAGAACAAGGTAGCAGCCTGGTTCTGAGCAGAGGTAACAAAATCCATCATTAAACATTTTGTATGTCTTGTTTAATACATATAAAAATGAACATTTTGTATTAAACTCGTGATCTGTGAATTTCACAATGCTTCATAAGTCTGACGAATAAATATCTTTGAATTTATTTTGGGAGGCTGCATATTTCTTAGATGACATATTTTATATTTGGGAGTGAGTAAGAGTTAGACTAAGTAACAGTAGCTGACATGTACACACCCAGTTTTCTGTCAGTCGGTGTTAAATCACAAGGTAAAATTCCATGAAAAAACACACACGCACACACTTCTATCTTTGTGAGGACACTCACTGACATAATGCATTCCCTAGCCCATTAGCTTAAACTCCTACATTACCCAAATCTAAAACTACTTCTAACCTGAACCCTACAAGTCTTAACTCTCAAAAAGCAGTTTAACAGAGTGAGGACCAACCAAAATTTTCACACTTTCCAGAAGTGTCTGTAGCAGAAAATACTTTTTTTGGTCCTCACTATATAGCAAGTACAAGAACACACATCCTGTAACGACTCTGTTGTTCACAAGCTTGGAATTCTTTGGAAAAATATGATAGGTGAAATTCCCACACTTCAAGTATCCTCTCCTCACATTTCCTGGCACTTCATATCTGTGGCCAGCTTCTCATTTTGAGTTCCTGCTTGGACAACGATGGCCTGAGGATAGAGGTGAAACCTGACTTCCAGTCGGAGCCCCTCATGCTCTCTTTAGGCTGTTGTTGTGAGCAGGAAATTGGGCAAGGCCCTGCATTGTTTGTCATAAAATTTCAGAGCCGATAGTGTTACTTCTGTGAACCACTGAGTAATAACAGCACTTCAAGGTATTGAAGGAAACTAGAAATAGTTTAAAGAGATTATAAGGAGTATCATTGTGTTTTGTTATTTTTGATAATATTTATAAGCTTATGTTTTAGTAACAGTAGGTTATTTTGAATAATATGCACCTATTTGGTTGACTGGATGATGCACTGTAGTTTTTCTTATGTACATCAAGTATGTTTACAACTGGGAGACATCAGTACAGGAATTTTGTCTGTTATTTAAAGAGCTCACTGAGCTTAATTTATATAGACTGTTCTTGCTGCTGTTGGCATCTGCTGATTGGAGAAAGCTCTCCATTTCACTTGGGCCACTGAATTATTGTGCTGTTTTGTTGCCGTCCTTAGTCGTTACTGTTGTCAGACTTTATGTGTACCATTTTTAAATAGCTGATTCATGCCATATACATTTATGTGGACCCTAGGGAAAGTAGCCATGCTCTTGTCACAGTGGCTAATGGGCAGCTACTGGGTACATTTATCCAATACGGTACTAAGTATAACTGAGAGTGTTTTACTTTACTTCACTGTACTTTATTCTAAGTAAGGGATCTGAGTATATCTTAAACCACTACTGATAGAGAACTAAATAAACAAGCACTCAAACTACAGTGTTCCCACAAGATATCATATGGTCATTAAGTAAAATATGTTGTAAATCAATACAACAGTGGTGCAACCTGCAGCCTGTATATAGCACTTTACTCTTATCTAATAATCTGAGCAAAAACTAAAATTGTAAACTTCAGAGGTGTTTTTCACTGATGTATTTGATTACAGTATTGTAAGGTATTCTTTCTGCACACTTGAGAAGAAATACCATAACCTTTTGGAACTGTAACTTCTGTTTTCTTTTTAACCTTTGATTTAATGAGATGGTCCAGTTCCAACATTCCTGTGTTACATAAGTCTGGTCTGAAGCCACCAAGGTCTGAGATCATATTTGTGTTTCTCATCTCACTCAAGAGGATCAGAACATTGGCCTAGAGTTAGCCTGAGGTGAGCACACTGCCAATATTCACACACACACACACATACTGTGACACATATGGTCTCTCTTCTTCCAAGAAACATTTACTCTCTTCTCCCTCCATTAAGTTTCCACTTTTAGCTAAATGTCATGATCACTTTTCCTTCTTGGTTTGAGTGATGTTCGATCTATATCCTGAGTCCAGCCAAAAGTCAAAAACAATGACCAGTTTGCTCTGCTTTACAATGAGCAAATGTCTTTTCTTGTTCACCATGCAGTCAAGACCCACCACACTGTGTACCGCATCACACTGAGACTAATCTGACAAGACAGCAGCCCCCGGCATCTAGCTTTTTGTCTAGACATCCACTAATTTGAAGTGCTTTACAGCAATTTATTAAAATTCATGAAGTCATTGTCTGGGATTGCCTCTTGGGTCTGCCTTTCTCTTGCTGTTTAGAGTAGTTTGGTCAGCTCTGTAGACAAACATCTAAACCTTTGGTTAGGGAGAAGAAAACTCCACTAAACCCCACTGTAATGATACACTGGCAGGGCAGATTGCAGGGTTGCCGTTCGTCTGGAACTGTAAACACAGCGGCGAAGGCTCGTTGGGACATTCCAGAAAAATCCTCAACTGGGAATTCTTGGAGGAGCTCCTCGGGTACCAGCATTCTTGCTTTGGGAAAGCAGTGCTAACAGTGTCTTTTGCGATCACTGTCCTGTACTGAGTGAGAATTATATGAGGGGAAATGAGCAGCAGATGTTGAGAACTGGACAGTGGTGACACAGGTAAAACTCCCTTTAATGACAGAAACCTCTGAGCTCAGCTTGGGCAGCCATCTGCCTCGGCCAGGTGGGAAGAGTGGATAGAGGAGAGAGAAAAGAAAAACATCAAGAAAGAACAAACACTTGGCAAATTGGTGGGGTCAGTAACTGCATATCAGAAACATACAGTGGGCAACATCTGCAAGTGACAAATATATAATGCTAAGAGCTACATTATTGTTTGGCATTTAGCTAACACGCTAAGCTATTGCAACAGTAGCACAAGTAGAGAAGAGTCAGCAGTGGCAGAAAAGTGACCCAGTGCGTTATCAAATAAGTGTAATGTAATGTAACCATGTTACTTAGCAGGATTTCAAACAGTAAATCAGATAATTGAACTGAATCTGGTCATAAAAACATTTTAGGGGTCATTCAGAATTAATAATACTCCGTTGTTACAGCTGTTTGTCATACATACAGCCAGGTGATCACTAGTTGTAGATTAAAAATGGAAACACTGAAGAAATTGTTTTTGTTTTTATCTTGGGTGCAGGGTATCTTGACATTTTCACCACATCAGAACAAAGTTTGGGTCAGTTGCATTCAAATATAATTTAGATGAAGATTAAGAATAATTACACCGATTCGCTGAAGATCAGCGACAGATATAAACAAGGAGATAACAGTGAGAATGACTTTCAGTCAGCATCAAAACATCACCGATTCTGCTTTTTTCCAAGAGCATTATCTACATGCTGCAGACACAACGTCATCTATCTGGGGCAATGCACAATGTGACTTTTTCCCCCCATTTTGTATTATTCGCCATTTGAGCATAGAATCTTAGAATAGCTATTTCTCCCCAGTCTTAAAATAGTCTGTGTAAAATAAGACAATGATCTTCTTTCAGTCAACACAATAGAGCCTTTGTGTGCCAGCAGACGCATCCAGGCCTTGAGTTGCAACCATTAACATGTCTTACAGTGGAGTCATCATCACTTACTGGTAGTAACACAAAAGCTGGAAGTCATCCTTAAGATAGTGGATGTTTCCAGTTGACACTTTTAGAAATTGTTTGGTTTTCACAACAGGCTTACAGCAGTTCAAGCAGAAAACCAAACTACCAGAGGGAGTTAACTATTTGAAAAAAATCGTTATGGTATGTGTTGAGGTGTCATCTAAGGATAATAACCGCTCCTAAATCTTTTACATTCCAAAGGCCAACAAAAACCAAAAGGAAGAGTAAATAATAGGTGAAAGACATAAGATGCATGAACATGATTCATTTTGAAAAGTGTGTACAAAGTGTAATATAATCTCTTTTTAAAAATAATTTCTAACTCATGTATAAGGCCCCTATCCAGTGAGAGTACAGAGTATAATGGCTTAGTGTGTAATATTACTCAACCTGTGGGATATTGCACAGTGCGTTTGAATAAACATTGCACAAGGGCAAATAGCTGAGTAGTGACGAAGCAAAGAGACATAATATAGATCAGATCTATGTTTGTAGATCATGATTCCCTTGCACACTAAATATAAATACTTTGATTAAAAATTGTTAAAGTTTTTACATGTAATATATAATTAGCCTGAATAAGCTGACTTAAAAAAATTAAGGCAAATGATTTCCTTAAAGGTTTTTAAGCAAACAAAAACAAAATAACAAATTTGTTTGAGTGAAACTCACTTGAATAATAATAGAACACCTAATACACTTAAAATGTATTTAAATTCTATGGTTAAATCCATGTGATGCCCAACGATTCAACTTAGCATTTTATATTACAATGACTATAG